CAAAACGATAGAAACGGACCCCGCAAACGATAACGGGTCCCAAGGTGGATAGATCTGCAAACGGAACGCTCTGGGGGGTCAAACGGCTCCGTGTAATCGCCTCTATACGATCATTTTCTGATAACGATTAAATAGCCCCGCCTCCCTCTCCCCACGCCTCCCTCTCCCCACGTCTCCCTCTCCCCACGTCTCCTGCTCAGATTTAAACTTTAACGGACATGTTGACCGGCGGAAAAAAATGTTAACGGAAACTCTGCCGCATAGTCCCCTCGTCCCTTGGAAGAGGCGGAGAGGTGGGTGTTTTTCATCTGCTGGTGGACCAGCAGATGAAAAACACCGGTGGACTCCACACGCCGTCCACCGCGGAGAATAAACAGAAGGGCAACCATGGCAACAATGCTTCGGGGGCGGGGTCTTCTTCGCTGCTTTTGGTGTATTTTGTGGCGGCAGCAGCGCCACTTACAGGCCTGGCATATGTACTACAGCGTTTCCAGCGTTTCCAGCAGTCTCGTGTGAACGGACACGTTAAATGAATCGAATGCGTGTGAACGGAAGACTTTTTTGAAAACGCATGCGTGCATAAACGCAAACGTTCCCGTGTAAAGGCAGCCTAAAGGATGGAAACTAGTAGAGCAACTGATTAGCTTTCTTTCATTCAATATTAATATGAACCTGCAGTATTGAACACTTCCCATTATTAGCTGAAAACATTTCAAAGAAAGCTCAAACTAAAAGGCAAAAGGTATTGTTGTTTTTGCTCCCTAAAATGTTATACAAAGATAATTGGGGTAATTGTGTGCATGAATTACAAAAATTCAGGCATGTCATTTTTGTAAATCAGCCATCTTTCTAATTTGTGAACTCGGTATACATTCCCTGCAAACATTGTATTGCCTTCCCAGGGTCAAAACAAAACATGTAAAGCAACTTTTAGCTTCTATTCAAGGTCCAACTGGGAAAAACGTTCTGAATATCTGAAGTCTGGCCCCACCCTAAGTTATCTTAAATCAAGTCACTCACGCTTCAATCATCTTAATTTTTGCTTTTCCAGAAGTGATCTAACTATATTTTATTATTATACTTCTGCACGTCTACAGTACATCCTCTGTATTTACATTGTTTAATTACCTTCTTTCACTTATCAATTATATATTTTTCGTTGTGTTTGTTTTATTTATTTATTTGTATTGTGTGTAAATGTTTATGTTAAGCAATTGGTATTCCCTCTGTTTCTAAACATGTGCTATATAAAAAGATTCATTGATGATTTTTTTTCTATAGATATATGAAATCAACTCAAGTCAAGTTAGGCATGAAAAAAAAAAAAAACGTCTTTCACTATGATTTATGGTTGCCAGGCAATGTTCAAATTATCTGTAACAAATGTCCACACTACCAGATAATATATATTTTGTATGAATTAAAACTTTGGAGACTTTAAATCAGGGATGGGCAAATGGCGGCCCGGGGGCCGCATGCGGCCTCCTCTTTTTGCGGCCCTCAGATTAATTTATAAACAACGTAATTAATTTTAAAAAATTAAAAATTAAAACTTATTTTTTTAATTGTTTTACTTGTAGTACTGATACCGTCCACTAGACTCCTAGTTACGTCGCAAGCTGCGTACATGATTTCGTTCGGCAGCCAAATACCGCAAAATAATCTGTGACGCGTTTGCGTGTATTGTGTTTGTTTCCCGGGGAAACACTCACAAGAAACACCGGCTGTTGTTATGCCTGCTGTGACGTTAAGTTACCGCTTGTAATTATGCCTTTACAAGCTTCAAAGTTGTATTTATCATCTGAATTTGGCGAAACAAGTTTAATATTCTAAAAACCAAGACTTTGTTTATTTGAAATCAGATGAAAACAAACTGTCACGGACCCTGCCGTGTTATCTATGATTACTATACGCTTTTCATTCATAATTTCAGCGGGAGGGAGGAGGAGCGGCGCTGAGGAACAGCAGAGTGTCTTAGCTAGGTTCAAGTTAGACAACTACAATTACATACAATACATGCAATTTGTGTGTGTGTGTGTTCCAAGTGAATCTGCGGCCCCCTGGTGGCCAGTACATACATTATGTGGCCCCCACCACCATCCAAGTTGCCCATCCCTGCTTTAAATAGACAAAAACGTAAACTTCTTCCCCAGCCAGTAGGAGTTGCTAATGTGAAGAACACGTCAGCGCCCTTGCACACTGCTTTAACTTTTCTTTTGAACAGTGTTCTGAAACAGTGAGCTGTACCGAAGCTGCCTGCATATGACTGTGTATGAATGTTGGATAATCTTCTGTGCTTTAAAACTACATAATTACCTTACGAAGAAACACAATGTCAACATCAAATGACGTACCTTATTTCTGATTAAATTCACACAGCAGGTAACAATATAAAAAACGTCCTGATTGTCTGAACATATTAAGGTAGTTGAGCAGCTGATTGAAGCCGAGTTGCCAGTATTTAAAATAATATTTCCCTCTTATTACTTTGACTAAACGTAATGATTATTACACACACAGTAGAGTGGTGCAGTGATGACCATGGTTGTAGGCCAACCTGTAAGTTAGCAAGGGCTCCATAGACCAAAAGCAATGGGATTTGTGGCATAGGCAGATTTATGATGCGTACAGCAGGATAATACCCATATATATACACTTATTTTATAATAGTTGAAGAGTAAATGCAATGCAAGTAAAACGCTTACGTAATGCTTTAAACCAACTACATCATGGTCACATGACTTAACTAAATCTCTGCCAAGCTAAAGGCAGCTAACATTTCCTGTGATGACGTGTCGTATTCTTTCTTTAGTCACTTACAGTTACAGTAGCTACTGCCGTTTTTAAAACACATAAACGCTACAGACATTCAACAGCAGGGCATACTGATGTATTTTACGTCATAAAACAAAACATGGAAATCTTGAAAGCTTGGGTTAACCACAGATCCTATTTCAGGCGTTTAAAGAGAAACAAATTCAAAATCATTGACTTCTAGACGAGGAACGCGAAAATGCATACTCATTTCCGGGTTTGTGACTAATTTCTGCACCCCTCTATAATCCCTGTTCAGTTTATTTGTAGGTTGTTATTCTATCTTTACGTTAGTCTTGAGAAGTCTAACATAGGCATAATGTATGAGGATGAAGTCTCTGCATACGTATAGTTTCTCAGAGTTAACTTGATACACTTAAGTAATGGGGCCGATTTCTTGAAGCTGGATAAGCAGAAATGCAAGTGTAGAAAGTACTGTAGCAACATTTGTGCCAACATGCTTTATAACAGCGTGTGCACAACTCACAGTAGACTGGAGAGTATGCGTGCACATCTGAGTGTGTAGGCTTCCTATCCCTTGGTGACCTCATTTTCTTTGTGGCTCAGGCTGGCCCTGCCAGACAAAATCCATAATTTCTATTTGATGGTGCAGTCAGGCTGGGCCTTCTGGAGGACACTGCCTGAAATTGATGTGTCTCATTTCAGGTCTACTGAGGACGCCAATTACCCTTTTGGAGACTCTTTGAGGATGCTGGTGCAACACTCCCTTGTTTCTGACTTGCTCTCTGTCCTTTTTCCTACTTTTCAGCCTGTGCAGTTGTTCCACAACTATCTCAGTCTGAATAGTCCTTTCCACAACTATCTCAGTCTGAATAGTCCTTTCCGCTTCTACTGTATATTTCTGTGCCTGTTTTTTCCTCTGTATATACTTCATACCCTCTGCTGTCACACTCAGGGTCGGGCGTAGTTGAGTGTTTATGTTTGTTTCTCCCCACAGGCTCAGGTTTTAAAGTCATAAAAGATAGTTTTAAGTTGAATTTGGTATAATTATAGTGGACAACGTTAAATTGTAATGGTTGCACTGCCTGTGTACTTCATACTTTAAATTGGACCTGTATTTGGAGACTGATGAAAAAGGGATTCCTTTTCAGCTTATCTTATTTGCTGCCTCTGAACATTAAAACAAGTTTCCTGCTGATGAGGATACTACACTTTTTAGTCCGGCTTGCAGAATGTCACTACCTCCAATGATTGGTTCTTTTTTTTCAACACTGAAATGTGTTGTTATCATTCCAGTTGAAAGAAAAGTATTAAAATAGAGCAACCATTCTGTAGGAAACACCATCGGACGGTTGACTGTGTTACTGTTTAACCAAAATTGAATTGGCTGGCATTATCATTTTCCTTTTTATTTATTTGGAGGCATGTCACTGTGCGATCCATTATGTTACTGTAAAACAATTTAAATGTTGAAAATTGTGATGGTTAGATGTTTTATTCTGTCAAAATGTTATATTTGTATTTGGGTTTGATGTGTTGAAGGGACAACAACTTACTTATTGTGCAACCTTGTGTTGTGTTGTGACATTGTGTACTGTGTGTTTATTTAAAGAGGGTATTTATCTCCATCATGGATGACAAGCCTTCTCGTCAATGTTAGGGACTATTACCAGCTAGGACACATTTCATTGTATTTATCATGTATATATGTTATTTCTATGATTTAACTTGCACTACTTATTTTCAATTATTCTTTACCAGTGATTTTTTTTACACATTAGCAAATTTGGAGTGACTCATAGCTGCAAGATTTCCAGGACTAATAACTGCTGATTGCTGTGCATACGACAATGAAATAACTTGAAGGTAGATAACTTACAACAGACAGTGTTGCAGTGACCCACAGCAACAATCCTAGACATGACTTTTTCTCTGACCAAATAACATTTCCTTGGTAAAGGGCAGTTGTATTCTCAACTATTGGCAAATCAATTTAACTTCCTGTTGCATTCAGCAAGGTCAGCCAATAGGAGAGGGTACGCTTTTTTTCAACAGCAGATGTAGAAGAAGAGTTTTTGTTCCTCTATAACGGTGTTTAGATGACAAATATTAGTATAGCTGTTTATGGTCATGTATCTTCCTAATCAATACCCCATCATGCTCCAATAATACAATCTTAGGGAAACAAACCTAAACGTAAAATAATATGTAAACAAGCAACTTACCAGGGAAACCAGTTTGATGGTTTCCCTCCAGGTTTTGTCCACAGCTGTGAAGCGGCGTCCCTCCTCAGGCATCTGAGTCATGATGTCAGGGGAGCTGAAGATGGGCTCCAGGTAGAGCCAGGTGGACTGCACCTTCAACCAGTCGTCCATGATCTCCTGGAGGAGCAGAAGTTTGGCCTCCCATTCCCTACAGGAGGAGAAAAGAGTTTGGAAGTGGGTATATACAACTTTAATAAAGGCACTTTCAATTCTGATGTATGTCATATTCTTACTTTGTTGTTGAGTATCTAAACTTCGACACTTTTATGTTTGAATTTATTTAATATAGCTTTTAAGTTGATTTATGTTTGCGCCTATTTTACAAACCTAATTCCTCTCAATAACTCAATCAAGCTGTGTTTATGTATGCACCATTTTAAACCAAAGCAAATGTGTAAACCTATTGGCAATAAACCTGATTCTGAATCTGATTATAATTAATATAACTTAAAGGTGGGGTAGGTAAGTTTGAGAAACCGGCTCGAGATACACTTTTACGAACTTTTTGCCCGGCTAAAATAACTGGATGGCCTACCTGCCTGTCAGGCTTCCATCTGTGCACAAACTTATCTCGTGCCCTCATTGGTCATGTGCGCGTTCGTGTGTGTTGGAGGAAGTGGCAGATTTTTACCGGCTGTGTATTTTCAAATTCTAGCACACTCGAGCTGGTTACTCCAAAATGACCTACCCCACCTTTAATATATGTTTTGTAGAGGAACAATAAGCCTAGAACAAAGCAGTAAAAATGACTTATAGGTAAAAGGGGTTTTGGTAATCCTGAATGTGTATTTATATTATCTGTAGTAAGTAGACTCTGTATAAAAGGCTGTTGCGATCAGTTCATTTGGCACCAGAATAGGATTATTGGTCCACACCAGAGTTCGATGCTAACACACAAGGCTAGATAATTACATTATAAAGCTCTCATGGGATTAAAAGAACAACTTTCAAATGCTGCTTTAGCATTCTGCCAAATATGGCACAATACATGTTTAAAAGCTGCAGGGAAGCCTGTGTCAAACTGTGCCTGGCAGCAATACTGCAATCATATCAGAAATGACAGAGGCTGGGGAATGTTCATCATTTGCTGAACAGAGAGGCAAATAGAAAACTGAGTAGTAATGAATGAATTATACAATATGCTAATATGAAACGGTTGTTTTCCAAGTTTCACAAAGGTTACATTAAGTACAAGTCCGCAACAGACAATTCGCTTTTTTAGTTTAAGATAGAGGTATCATTTTAAGGTGTATTTCACCAAAAACAGCAATAGCACCCAGCACAAGAGGAGATACTGTAATGAAAACATCCTTAACTAGCCCGGCCATGTGTATTAACTTCATAACATTAATGAATTGCTTCTTCAGGCAAAACAATTCCTACAAAACTCACCGTATCTCCACCTCGAAGGGCTTGATGAAGGGCGAGCCCCTCATGGTTTGTGTCTTCACGATGTGATCGTCCAACAGCATCTGCACCTCGTCCACGGATGACAGGATGGAGGTGCCCGTCTCTCTGTAGGCCAGTAGGTTGAACTCCATGTCGCCCCACTCCATGGCCATTTTCTCCATGGCCTTCTCCAGAGAGTACTCCTTGCCTGCTGCCTCGCTGATGCCCTCAAAGCTGCCCAGGTGCTGTTCCAGCTGCATGGAGAGGAACTGATCCACGCAGGCCTCCTCGTCAGCTGGCTGCAGCGAGATTCCGGACACCTCTGCCATGGCGTTCCAGTGGCGATCACGCAGGCCTGGGTTACACAGCACCTATGACCAAGAAGGAGTATACAATGTATATTATACTGTATGTATATAAGCCTACTAGCCTAGCTCAGTCAGTAGGCACTTTTTGGGGGAACTGGAGGACACCGGTTCAAGTCCCGATTGGACTAAGTAAAAAGTGTGGACTGGTAGATGGAAAGGTGTCAGTTTGGTCCTCAAGCAAGGCACCAAACACTCAACTGCTTGGGACAGCTAACCATTACAGCCCCCCTTGCTCTGACACCACTCCATTACATTTGTAAGTCCTGTTTGTGCATTATTGCAATAATGGCATTACTTTACAAGCTGACATTTTTATCCAAAGCTCCTCACATACAATTCAATACTGTAAACAAATGAAGCATCGAAACACCCTTTTTTATGATACATTGGCAGTTCTAGACCAATTTTTTCTTGGCAGGGGGGGTTATTTCATGAAAGGGGCACAATAAGTGGTACAATTTTAGGTGAGTATAAAGTCAAAGTGCACAAAATAAACCATAAAAAAACATGATTGGTATTCACGTCAGTAACCTAAATATGTGATGAGGCATTATTGTTTGTGCAACACTGTCACAAGTGTTATTATCAAACTCTTTTTTTGGAGTGGGGTCTGTGCTTAGTGTTACAGGAGCACTGGCCCCTGCTGCCCCTCCCCACCCATTTTATGAAATGTAGATGCTTGTTTTCCCCTGCACCAAAGTACAGGTGTGTGATGTCAAATCGGATAACAACAGTGTAAATTGAATTTAAAAGTAAGTCTTCTTCTTCTACTACTAACTGTATGCTTGTCATAAACTAGTGTAGAGACATTTATTATTTTCACCTCTATAGCTATAGACTCGTTCCGTTGGGGTCTTACCTGCACCAAAGGAATGTTTTCTTTGAAGTCCTCCACCTTGGTCTTCATACTGGTGGCTATGCTCAGGGCACTGGGAACATCACTGAAGCCTTTCTCCAGTTTGTACAGAATGCGCCAGTAGTTACCAACATCCCCTTCTACCTGCAAGGGTGGAGTTTGCATTACAATGAGTCCAGCAAGACAAAGTATGAATTAATAATTGTCAACCAAAATGGTATAATAAAACAGTCTGTTAAACCAAAAACAAAATGTCTACTTTATAATTAGAAATACCTGCAGTGTATGGCAGCTCACTGGCCTCATTGCAACTGAGTCATAGTTCATCTTATTAGTATCAACTGTGGCGTGCAAACTGCAATTGCACTATCCTCATGTTTAATCCATTATAGACTTTTAGCAAATATATTGAGGAGGATTTATTTATGATATTATTTTACTTTATGCGTGTCTTTTCATATGGCCTTGTGTTTCTTTAATTTCTTAATGCCTGTTTATTTCTTGAATAATGATGTGTGAATTGCCTTGTTGTTGCTAGGCTAAGATGCTAAACAAAAGAAAGCCTTGCTTTGCCAAGCGGCTGCTATAAAAGGAGAGCTAATAAGAGCTGTCTTGCTTTAACACATCAGGACAGACAGAAACAGAGATGTCAATCAAACAGCAGGTGCAGTTGAGTGTGTGAGTGTGTGTGTGTGTTGTGTGTGTGTGTGTGTGTGTGTGTGTGTGTGTGTGTGTGTGTGTGTGTGTGTGTGTGTGTGTAAATATTATTCACAGGTACACATCTCTGTCTCAATGTTATATATGATAGCACATTTGACATTCATTCTATGTAGGCGTAGCAAGAAACAAAAAAAAGATTGGTATGCTATAGGACTGATATATGAAATAAAGTGCGTTCCAAGACTAGAATCTATAAATGCGTGTGTAGGTGTGGGAGTGTTACATTGTGAAAATGGAGTAGCTTTTCATTGCATGCACTGTTATTGACAATGAAGAGATTTCAAAGCTTTCAAAGAATACAGAATTTCAGCATTATTCTCAGATTCCTCTGTTTCTGCTGACAATCACAATTAATCGATGGGCACATTGACTTAGCATGACTGCACCAACTGTAATAAAATGTTATTAAAGGGGCCCTATTATGCTCATCCTCAGGGTTAGTTTTGTATTTTGTGCTTTTACTATGACATGTTCACATGTTTTAATGTTTAAAAAGGTCTTTATTTTCCTCATACTTCCTCTGCTGCAGCACCTCTTTTCAGCCTCTTTGAAATGTGGGATTTTAGCTTTTGCAGAACATTAACTTGGACAAAAACCTATAACACACTACAAGAAAGAGAAAACCCCCAAAAGCATAAAAGGTGCTTTCACAATGGCATTTGAAGCATCACTGATGCTGTCCTGAATATAAAAGGTGTCCCTGCTCATTGTTAAATTGTTGAAGGTTAAATATACATCCTGAACTTTCTGGTACCTTGTCTGGGTTCACACCCGAGAGTGGTCCATGGAGCCACTGATCATACTGGTTTAGGAAATCAGTGCCTGTCTCATAGAGGCGTAGAAAGGGTGTGAGCTTGTCGTGGATCTTCTTACGCTGTGGGTACTGGGAAATAGTCCAGCCATAGGCATCCTCCTCCATGTTGAATTCATTTATCTTTGGAGAGGAGCAGAAAGAGAAGCATGGATAAAAACATGCCAATGCTGCCCTCTACAGGTTAAACATTTGAAAGCAGAAACCATCATTTAACTTCAAATACTATGATAATTTATACTAATTAATCCTCTCTACAATTAATGTATATCTTTTAATCAGGAACATGTCTAGTCAATAAAACCCACTTTTATAAGAATGGCTTTTATTTATTTGTATTTATGTTTTATTACTTTCTGCTTGTTTTACTCTGTGTTTTATAGTCTGGTTAGTTGCTGGTTGTTGCATTATCTGTGTGTATTAAATATTTGTATTTGTTATATGAAAGCATTTGGTAACTCTGTTTGAAACGTGCGACAGAACTAAAGTTATATTAATATTTTATTGTTATAATATAATTTGTGAAGTATTCTAAAATCTGAGTTTACACTGGCATGGAGCAATACTTCAAAAGTGGATTTTAAACGGCTTTTACAATGATACAAACAAAAACACTTAATGCTATATTTATGCTATATGCTTATGCTATATTGTTTTATCATTGTTTGGGTATCAATATAACTCCAAATTGTCTGATACTGCCCACTACAATATTGCCCTTCTGTCAATCTCCATATCTTTTTTTGACAGATTAGGAGTCGATCCCTTATTTCTCTACCACATTGTGTTTTTCAGCATTGATTCTAGTGTACCTTTTCCAGAGCTGACTCTAGTTTAGCATTGAGGGCCTGGGATTTCTTCAAATACTTGTTGAGATCCGTCAGATCACTGAGGGTGGCGAACTCCTCCACCTGTGCGCTGTAGCTCTCCAGTTCTTCCACAAAGCACTGGCGGCACATCTGAATGCACATACAGAAAATGTCCTCTCGGAATTATTCCAACATGCTAAAGAAATACAACCAACAGATGAATATTTAGATAGATATAGTAGAGAATCAGACCTCAAGGCCACTCTGATATTGCGCTGTCTTTTCAGCGAGGATCTGCCGGTGTTCCCTAATGATGGATGGCATACGCTGAAGCCACTGGATGGTCTGTGTGTTGAGCTCCATGTCCGATGGTGAGAGGGTGATAAAGTCCATGAGGAAACACAGTTGTGTGTTGGAGTCTGTCAACCTTTGCTCTAACAGAGGCAGCTCTGCAGTCTGCACTTTATACATATAGGCCTGGGATGGGGGTACAGGAAAACAATAAAACACAGATATAGTACGACAGAATCAGGTTTAAACATATAAGGAATTTGCGTTGGTGGATAATGGTGCAAAAAAAAGGAATTAAGTTGTAAAAAGGAGCAAATATAGATAACAAATACATATTATAAAAACTATTATATTATACCAAAAACTACTTTATTATAACAAAATAAAAAGTAGTTTACAAGAAATATTAATACACAAAAAACATGATAAATACTGAGCAGTTATAAAGGGGCCATTTTATGCTCATTTTCAGGTTCAAATTTGTATTTTGTGTCTCTACTGTGACAGGTCTCCATGCTTGAATGTTCAAAAAGCTCTTTATTTTTCTCATTCTGCCTGTGCTGCAGCACCTCTTTTCACCCTCTGTCTGAAACCAGAGCCCAGTCTGCTCTGATTGGTTAGCTGGCCAGCTCTGTTGTGGTCAACAGCTTAGAGATGTCCCGTCCCTTAGCCTATCACTTACAATGTGATGGAACACTAGCCAATAGAAGCGTGGGTGTACAGAAGTAAACAAACAAGTCCAATGGAGGAGTTGCAGGAGGGAGGGAGGGGGGGGGGTTGTTTGTGGGAGAGAAACGGGCGTGAACTTTTGGATTTGAGCCTTTTACATGAACAACAACCTTTATAACACACTACAGGAAAGGGAAACCCCTAAAAGCATTATAGGGACTATTTAAAGAGGTAGCATTGTGCAGAAATGTACAGAATATAAAGAGGAATGTGGAAGGTTCACAGTATGAAATAACATTTGCTCAAATATTGTGCGTAAATGTAACGCATGAGATGAGTTACAGTATAGAGTCAGTGTCAGGACATAGTCCTATGTAGCAAAAAAGCGTATGCTCGATAATTTGTCTGTTATTGGACCACGTCTAACTGCTTAGTTTGAGGGACATTTGTAGACACTGGAAAATACTGCACCAAGCTAGTCTGTGTGACAAGAATTTCAGGTTGTTAGTTAGTTACCTTAAGCTCCATCAGCTCCTGCGTGTCATTGGGTGTGCTCAGTGCCTTCTCTGCCATATTCTCAAATTCATTACAGAGCCTGTGAGGGGAGAGAGCATTCATTCAGTGACATGTCTGAAGAGTTTCACAGACTTACCATCTAATTATGGCATTGCTTGGAGCAGATGCACCACTGGGAAAGAGGACAAGACAGCAGCCAACACTAGGTTTTAAAAGGATGGGCCCGATGTATATTTCGAGGCACCCCATTGGCCAACTAATGCCTAAACTCTAAAGATTCTCTATGTAAAAGTCAGGAATGTATGTCAAGCAGAAACTGATACATGTCCTTGTCAACTTTGATCCAAAACAATAACTTGCTTGAGCTGCATTTGGATTTCTTTTGGCGTGGATCTATTGTGAAAAAGCTTCAGTTAAACAGCACACTAACTGACTTCTTGTTGATCTCCTGATGGTCCTGCAGCATGCGAGTGACCATTTTCTGCTGGAGCTCCTCAGCACGCTTGACGAGAGAGTGGATGAGCTTCTGGGACTGAACCTCAAACATGCCGAGGCGCACCACCTATAACCCAAAGTATTTGTCAGTAACACAATTAACGTCATTTAAAAAATATATCAATTTCAATATCTAAAGTTTGTTGCCTTTGAGATTGCAGATTCAAATTGTTCAGGCATTAGGGTAAATATCAGAAAGGGAGGAATGAGAGGGAGAAAAAGTAGCAACCTCATTAATGTCCCTCAACATTTTACTCTCTGCAATGATTTGTACTTTTTAAGCTAACAGTTTTATATAAGAAAATGTGATGAATAACTTTTATTAGCCATATAACTTGCATTAGCCATCACATTTTTCAATTTTCCATATAAATGTTTAGCTAGTTTAAAAGGAATATACAGAAAGAATCGGCAACAGGGAATGCAAATGAATTCTTGTTTTCATCCATTACTTTTCTAATTCGTATTTTTATTTACGCTTACTTTTGTACCTTAACCAAGCATTTATTTTGCATTATTTCCAAATGTGCTGTGTCCCTTTAGGTTGTTTTTTTTTGCATACACCTATTGCCACCTTCCTGACCAAGTACCTGGCACGATGTGTACTGGATCTGGTCAGCAAGCTGCTGGTAGTGGACCACCTCTGCCATGATGTCCTGGAAGGAGTGCTGCTCACTGAGGAACTGCTCCACATCCTCCTCCGCCTGCCTGGAAACCAGCGGGGAGTATTTATCATACTCATGGACATACTCCTTGGGCTTGACACACTCAGCCAGGAAAACACGGAGCACCTCTTCCCGCTGCGCTACCAGGATCTCCGGCAGGATGATGGGCTTTAGAGTGCTTCCACACTGGGAGCTTTGCTGGAAAAAACAAGAATGGTTCACAGAATAAGAGATCCTGACAACATGACAAGAAAAGAACAACCACTTCAAGCGATTAAATCATTCACAATGTGCTGCTTATTGTTAAGGCACTATTGATATATACTGAGTTTTTTTCTTGTTTTAGAGCGATGTTGATTCAACTCAAAATCCACTCTGTGGTGCTGTTAAACTGTACAGCATTGTAATCACATGGGTTTCTATCCAGAAATCAGAGATCCTTTATCAAATGTACATTGTTACAGCAAAGGCACAATACAAAAAAGATAGAATAAAGTTAGAAAATTATATTAAAAAAAAAGAAATGTTGTCCACCCAATATTATAAAATCAAATCAAATTAAACAAAATGTAATTATCTGTGATCAGCTTCCAAAATGATCCCAAATAGACTTAACATTATAACCCTATAAATGTAGGAGCTATTGCAGTACTTTTTTCAGTTTTAGCTCGATGTACATAATATACTGGCAATGCTACTGAGTGTATACCACACACACAAACACTGTTTATCTTACCCACTCAAAGTAGAGTTTGGTTTCCACTCGTGGTACCATGTTGATAGGCCTGAGCATGAGCTCATAGACGTTAAGGAGGGCCTCCTCGTACTGTTTGAGTTCAGGCTCGAACTTGATGTCTCCGTCCTCCAGGATCAGATGCAGCACAAAGCCCGTGTGCTCATAGGCCCGCTCTGACTTCTAAGAGGGGGTGGACCAAACCAAAACAAGGTGAAAAAAAGCGTTTAGTGTCTTCATTTCATGTAGGACAAAATCAAATACAATTATGTTTTTTTTCAGGAAAGTAACTTCAACTTTTTTCAAATTGTATTTGCTGGAAATTGCTTAGCCTTCTCCTACCGGGTCTTGGGAAATGAGTCGTGTATAGTCCCTCATGGAGTCTATTGCAAGGCTCTGCAGCTGCATTGTCATCAGTGTAGCCGCACAGTTGAAGAAAGACAGCAGTTTGGGCATGTTGCTGGAGGCAGGCACCAGCTGGGACCTGCACCCCTGGTAGTAAATGTTGTGCACTTCGGGAACCCAGCTGGTGAAGAAAACAGCAAAATCGAGATTCAGATGATGTGTTATTATGCATCTAAAAAATGGGAATACAGAATACTTGAACGGAAATTGAAAGGAGCTTAGTCCCAAATTTCAGCATTATCGTTTTAACTTGCTCTTCTTTGTGTTTCCCATTTGTGCGTACAGTATTATGTACTTGCTAGTTATCTTTAGAGAGAAAAGGAAGTGTCATCTCTAAAAAAAAGTATTTGTTAGTTAATGTCCTTAAAAATGTAAGCAATGTTTCTTATTAGAAAAAAAGGACAAAGCAGTGTGGAGGTCTAAAGTGAGGATCATTTATGGACATTCTGCAACAAACGGCTGCACAACAAAATGCAGTACTAGTACATGTATGCTAGACAAGAAGGAATAAAAGACATATACATTTAGTATGCAAGATAGATCATCAGATCATCTCATAAGGTTGGGTAGATATACTTCACATTGTTGTAATATACTGTTGACGTGCTAATAAGTAGTTTTTTTTTTTCATGGGGGTGCTATAAGGAGAGACATGTATTCTCTGATGTGAAAGCTTCATATGGCTACGACTCGAGGTTTCTACAAAATACTAATACTTTATGGATGGCAGCTAAAAAGATGTCCCAGTTAACTTCTTATAGAGCTGTCAAACAGAAATACAATGTATCGATTTTCTAATTTGTGTTGCTTTTTTTGTTTCTCTCCTTTGTTCCAAATGACTCCTGATTATTTTTAACTGAGTACAGGTACAGTATGTTGGAGTGAAGTAATAATGTGGACTCACCTTTTGAGGAGGACTTCTCTGGCATTGTCAATTTGTCTGTTGACAATTTGCTGAAACACCGAGAGCTCCATGGACTCCTCTCTGCTGTGGAACTCCTCTACATCTATCAGGCGGAAATGTCTGCAAGCAGGTGAGATGATAAGCAAACACTTATTACTTCAGCAATAATCTGGTTTAGAATAGCAAAAAATATATATTTACAAAACATTGCTAACTGTAGACAGTCTGGATACAATTTCAAGAAACTAAGAAAACAGGAAAACTCTTTCCCATTAAAACAGGAAATGATTCATGCAAATATGTTTTGTATTAACTGTGGTTTCATTTTCAGCAGACCTTGGTCTGCTGAAAATGATTGGTGTTTTAATATAAATACAATTACAATTTGATGTGTAGAGTTTACAGTAACATTCAATAATGAATAATAGCTTGACATAAAAGTACACAAGTTGTATTTCCTCTTACGCAATGTGGTTCACATACTGATGTTTACTTGTCACACAAGGTGTCTTACTTTGTAATTAAGCATTACAAAATAAAATACATATATTGCACATAGTAGTAGTTTTTTGACACTTTTTAGAAATATTTGTTTGACCAATGTCTATCAAACTCACTTTCAACACAATTTGTTTTTTGGGACAAAAGTTAGAAAAGTATTATAGCATACTTACTTGTAAAATGCATGCCAAATGTAAAGCACATTCAGCATAGTGGGGTTGATGCAGTGAAGCTTATTCCCCATCTTCTTTCGTGCAAGGACAAAGGCTTTGTTCCATGGTTTTTCCAAAACCTCCAGTCTAACAGTGAAAGATAACACAAGCGACATTTATTTTGAACTCTTGCATTATATTGTATTCAATCATTTTTAAAGCTACTAGTCACTGATTATTAAAACTCAGATTTTATATGCACAGAGAAATACAAGTAATCTCTATTTGGCATCTTCATATGATCCATGCAACACAGGCCAGGCGCCGTGGGGGGCCAGGTAGGGCAAGGTCCTACCTTTGACATCTTTTCCCATCTTTGGACTTTAATGCTACGATCTATATTAGGTAACGTTGGACACTAAGTCAATCCAAAACATTCAGGAGTTCTTCTGAGTTTGGAATCTGAAGCCTGCTTATTTTGTTTTAGGCCAAAAATGGACATAAAAAAAGGTTTAGTGCTGTTTAGTGCATAACGTGTTGTCGCTCTGTACTGTGTAGATTTCTTTGCTGCTGTAGGCAGTGGTTGGTGAAGTGTAAGGCCCACGCAAAGCTGTTGCTGTGATTCTTTTTGATGTGAATTTAGGCACATGTGGTTTACCTGTGTTTGTGCTGCCTCCCAAACAATGCGTGGTTCCAAAGGTGGTTTGTAAGTTGCTGTTTATTTTTGCATACTTGCAAGAGGCGCGCGTCTTCAAGCAATGCTGTTAGCCATGCTGTCTTACTGATATTTAATTTGTGCCGCCCCCCACATGACATTTCTTTGGGCCCTCCCATGAAAAAAACATGCCTTCTTTGCAGATTTGCTCTGGCGCCGCCGGGTCTGATGCTCCACAGTATGAGTAAGGGGAGTCACTTTATACTTCTCACAAGATACACATGAACAATACTCAGTCACTTCCTGCTGACTTACTCAAGCCTGTGAGGGGGCAGATCTTTCACTTGGTCTTCGTCACTGTCCCCTGAATCTCCAAATATATATTTCACTGCAATCAAAAAAAAAACATTAAAACAAACATCAACAAATAAGTTATCACCACTGTTTTATGCATAACAATTACATTTGTATTAATTCAGCCATCAAGAATTTTTGGGCCAAGTGTTAACAAAATAGCAAAGGTTGATATTAAATGTACTTAAAATACCGATTGCTTCCTTGACGCTGAGCAGGTATTCCTCCCTGATCTCGTCGACCAGCAGATGAAAAGGTGTGCTCAGGCTCTGCAGGTGGCATGGTATCATTCCCTGAATGCTCTCCAGCCAAGAGTCCTCCAGAGGAGACACATCTTCCAGGTCTATCCCCTTCTGGATGTAGTTATCATATCCCTGACGAGATACATTTTTAGAACATTTCAAACAAACAATGCCTAACACACATTAAAAACATGTTGGTGTAAGTGCTGATGACAGAATTAATACAATTTTTGTTTGTAAGTATTTATTTTCCAAAGGCCAATGCTGTGAAACTGATCAAAATCATTATTTCTATTGAGTGTTTACTGGTTTATGCTGCAACTATAACTATACAAATGTGGAAAAAGTACATACAAGTAAAAAGTTTTAATGCTTTGACCTTAGTACAAGAATTTTCCAATATATCAAAAGATATGTACGTGTTTTTTAGGTAAAGAGAAAGAAGACTGCACAAAGAACGAAACAGACCTAGCAACTGCAACCATTGAGACCAACAAAACAAAACAGTGATAAAAGGCTACCATATCAAGTGTCTTGAAAAGTATAAAACAATGACGGGCACAACTTCTTCAATGTGTTATGTCACACACACACAACAAAGAGAGCTTGTTATGTATTATATGGCATATCAAGTATGGTAGCTATTCACCTTTCCACGATTTGTCTTTGTTGTGGATTTGGAGGAGCCAAATGTTGGCGCGGGGCTGTCCTCTTTTTCTTGCAAGCTTAAAGAAATGGGAGCCACGACAATTAACAGTTTTTGTACACAATTTCCTATCTGTAATAGTGTAATATGCGTAGCAGTGGTGGTATGATTAACAGTACAGAGTTTCCTTTCTAGTAGTAGATTGGTCCATTATAGTGGATGCCAACTTATTCTGTATATGTATACTTTTATTTGATAGAGATAAATTATAGATACATATATTTATTTTCTTTTTTATACTTTTTATTTATCTGATTATTTCATTAGCATATGAAGTTTGCTCAGAATATAAGGTCATATTCGTACAAAGAGTATAGGTAAAACACATCAAAAAGCAAGAGCAAATCAAATCAAACTGAAATAAAAAACAATGTAATGTTTATATGTATATCTGTTTATGTTTATTTGTCGTTATATATATGTGCACTCATGTGCAGTGCCTTGTTGCATGCTCCTGTAACAAAAGCAATATTAAAAGAAATTTGGATGAATAAAGTCAATCTAATCTAATCAACAACAAAAAAAGGCTTTGCAAATATATATTATATAAAAAAAACACAATTCTAAATCCATATCTTTTAAAATAGTTAGTTATAAATGTCCTTCTATATAACATACATCAGAGGTGAGTGACACTGAATTAGAGATGTATAAATACATAATTGGAAATTACATGGGAGACGTAAAATAAAGTTTTATAAAAAATACAGGAACTCACCATATGAATTTAACCAGAGTTTCCCGGAGAATCTTGCCCTTCTCATTAATGAGTTCTGTATGGGTGCTGATGCAGTGCTTGGAGGTTCTGTTGAACTGATCTGCTGTTCTGCTCTCAAGATCGTTCTGACCTGTGCCCTGACTCTGAACCGGTCTACTGTGCACTCCTTTAGTCAGACCAACTCCTGCAGGCAGCACACACAGGGCCAACAGAAACAGTGCTTGTGAAGTCAGTGATGGAATAAATACTCAGATTTTTATTTGGAGTAAGACTTACAACACTAATTGCAAAAAAGCTCTGTTACAAGTCAAAGTTTTGGCATTGAAATGAATACAAATGAGGTACCAAAAGTTGTTATGCAGAATGGCTTATTTCAAAATCATGTTTCATTATATATAGATTTGATTTATTTTCTACTGTAATTAAATGTTGTATGGCTGAGTAGCTTGAGAATTTACTAAATGCATATGCTGATAAAATGTTATATGAGAGTGATCTTTATCTGCAACGTTACTAGTAATTAAAGGTATTAAATCAATGTAATTGAGTAAAAAGTACAAAATGTACCTCTAAGATGTAGTGGCATAAAAGTATATGGTAGCAGAACATGGTAATAGTCAAGTGAAGTGTGTAACATGTGTACTTGTTAGTTCGTTAGTTTACACTATTGTATAAAATACAAAAGTATAGGAAAATGTGATAATGTATCTGATGTTTAAGTTGTCATAAAACTATATGTATTTTGTATGTGTCTGAAAAGTATTACAAACTCAGGCTTTAAACATTGGACTCACGTTTCCGCTTGAGTGGGGGATACGGCGAAAATGAAGGTTTTGTATCTATCCACGGCTGTTTTCTGTGGAGCTGGACAATGGAGTTAACAATTTAGGTTGGTGTAGGTTTGAGACAAATAATTTCAGGTTTTCGGAACAAAAAAATTGAACAGAGGAAGTTTTAATTTAAAAGTGGTAAAAAAATGTTTACTGTTGTAAAAGTTAGCTTAGTGTCACGAGTCACGACCAGCTGAGCTAACTTTAATAACGTCAGTTAAAAGTCGCAGCGTTAATACAATGAAACACCTTTCAAAACGAGGTCACAACAGTTCACTTAGTGCTCTATAAACGTACCTGAGGTAGAGCTGGTGGTAGGAACGCAAGACCCTCAGCTATATCTGGCTTCTTTTTGGCTGAACTCATCTTGGTACCTGTGCAAAGTTATCATGAGCTAACGCTAGCTCTCTAACGAAACACCTTGTGCTGTTGCTAGGGCCGTTGCTAAGCAAGCAACGGTGAACACACGCGCAGACTCGCGTGAACTTTTTGGCCCCGGCAGTTACACACGCAAATATATGTCTGTTACAGATTTATTATGTGCTTGTTTGATAATGTACGCATACAAAAGCAAGAACTCGATACAGTTCAATTCATGTCAATATTTCAACTAGCGTGACGGTTAATATGTTTTTTTCTGTCTTTACTTGCGTAGGTCAGGTGCTGCTATACTCAACTTTTAAAACAAGTAAGCCTATACCGTTTTCCGCCTTCATAATGTTTAATCTACTTTCCTTCGTGGATTTGTGTTAAAATACTCCCTGTGATATCTTAGCTTCAGTATTCCATTTTGTGTGGTTCTCCAGTCTCATATTAGAGCTTCAGTGAGCATAGTAACATGAATGTTGAGGTGTGCAGTTAGCACAGTGAAGATGATGGAAGATCCCATTAATATGTAGTGAGGAGTGTGCCACAGATGGTAATAAAAAGTGAATGTATTTCTTTCAACTATTTGGGTCTGAGACTATAAATAAATATAGCCTATGTAAGAATATAAACATACATTTATATGAATATTCTATATAATGATATATGATATGATATCGGCTTTACAGTATACCCGTTTATCCAGTGAAAGTCCCAGGTGGAGTTAATTAAAAACATATTTGGAATTGTACGTATTTATTTAATATTGGCACTGTACCCAGAACTAGGATAGATTTAATATTGTTAATATTGACTCCAATTGTTTTATGACCTAATCAGACTTAAAGTAAAATCTCATATTCACCAATCCAAATTACTCTAAACCCTCATTTATTATGTTTGAAGAAAGAAACCAAGCAAATGTATCAGCACAACAACTTTGCATACGTCGTTCATTTTATTTAATTGAATAATATCATCTGACTTTGTATTGACTATGTATATTCTCCCCTTTGTTTTGTTGTGACTGATATCACGTATATGTCTTGTCATTTTTTCTAAGATAAATACAGTATTTGCCCATGCCTGTAACCCTTTTCAGTATGCAATTAATTTCTTTAATTGCTGCAACACACACACACTTGCTTTATTTCCCCCAATACAAAATATTACATCAAAATTATCAATACTACCAAAATATTTACACAAAAACACGAAAGGATAACTTTGGCTCAGATCGAGTCAAAACCCAAACCTCTTACAAAGAACAAATCCAAATCATCTTGTTTCTTGTGAAGTATAAATACAATAGTGCTCTGATAGAGTAATTCTTTTTACATAACAAGGTCAATTCATGCTTAGCAAAAGCATTATTATTCAGGAACATCAAAAAATAAAACATGTGGAATGAAGGTGCTCTTTTGTAGGGAACACAAAAGTAAAAAAATAAGAATAGTCCAAAGCAGGAAAAAAAATATACATGTTTGCTGTCGTTAACAGCTCTATTTGAGGAACAACAAGAAGAAGGGAAAATGATACGCTGCATAATCTGGGTAGTCTAATAGGCAGCTGTATGTCTGCTCAAAAATATATGGTCATATCATAGGGGTTTCTGTAACACTTTATTCCAAGTAAGTCCCTAAGTAGGTGCAGGTACGTGAGTGCAGAGCCTTCAAATACAGTAACAAAACATACCCAGTATCTCAGATGGGATTAGTGGTGTATTTGGAAAACCCAACTCTGGTCCACGTTGATAAGGAAAACAAAGGACTATGCACCTCTCCCAATATTTACTGTATCAGTGGCTGTGGAGCTGCTCTTTAATCTGCAAACAGAAGTTTTACAGCTGAACCCGTTAACTGAGTTTCTTCAGGTCAGGCAGTGTGAGCTCATACCTTAAAAAGGAAAGGGAAAATAAATATGAATATAATTATACTGGATGACTACTATCGACCAGGACATGTATACAATGACGGTGGGAAATATCTTTAAATTCAGAATGCTTCAGCTTATGTTTAACAAAAATCATGGAGAAGTGAAAAACTGCATTCCATACCATTCTGTGACGCCTTTGGCTAATTCCAACTGTGAAAGATCGATCATCACCTGTGAGCGGGAGCATAACTTGGAAATTAGTCCACATACTGATACAAATATTGTTTTTGTTTTTTTAATTACGATTACAATAACTTGATTACAAATAAATAGGAAATATAATCATCTTTATTTTTTTGGTGATGTTTTTTGTGATGCGTTCGACGATAGATCAAAAATAATGTTAAGAATTATTCTCTTCATTTTTTTACTTCAACAAGCTATTTTTTGTCTTATTCAGCAGTATACTGAAAGCAGCAGGAAAGCCCAACTTAGAAGACGATGATATCCTTTTATTTATTGCAAGTTAAATTGTTATTATTGCAATATTCAACACTTTGTTACATATTTTCCTCATAGTGTGCGTCCCTAATCGAAACTGAGGTGCTAACTGCAAAAGCGTGACAACAATAGCGGTCAAGACATTGGTTTTGCAATAAACTGTGTGTTTGGGAAAAAAAAGTATGCTATGAGTTTCTTCAGTTGTTTCACTTTGTGCACTTCAACACGGATCCCCCATTTGTTATGACCTGGCTCAAAAGGCCACAACAAAGAGGAGACACACCATATCCACGTTTAACAAAATATGTTTATTTAAGCAAAACATTCAAATCAACCAAATTAATTAAGTGCAAAACAAGTCAAGTATGAGGTGTGGATGTCAGTGGTATCAGTAGTGTAAATGCAGGGTGAGGATTGTATGGACATGTATGAGTGTGAGAGTGTTGAAGTGCACAAAGTGAAACAACTGAAGAAACTCATAGCATACTCACAAAACCGGGGTGCCTGCAGGGAGAAGCAGAGAGGGAGACGGAAAGGAGCAGAGGCTTTAAATAACTGCAGGGCACCAGACCCAGGTGCCCTGAGTTACTGCAATCAAGGCAATCAAGGCAATCAAGGAGGCTGGATGCAGCACAGCCACACCCTCTCCAGATGAACCCACAGGGGCATCACACTCACCATAATGTCCTCGTCTAACAATATAAACAATGTTGAATCACAAGTAGTATTACCCACCATGCCAATGTCTTTCCTCTCCCGCGAGTGGAACATTTTCCCATTTTTCACGGACACATCCAACTTCCTGGTTTGTGCTTCTTGAAGTGAAACATCAAATTCAAACCTACAATGAAAGAGTTAGAGCAAACAATTCCAGAAAACCAATCAGAAGTAAACATACAGCGACTGCTTAACCTTGGTAATAAGAAATAAAGAATATGTTTTTTCTTTCGTGCAAATGTGTCATGAATCCAAAAAGCTTACTTGTGATTGAAGACAGGATTGACTGTCCTCTTCTTGACCTGCGTCCTCTTGCGATGTATCCAGGTTTGGTCAGGGAGGAAATACAGGCGGACATAAGAGTCTGTGCCATTCTCACTGGTGCGGAATAAGTTCCTGCAAGCAACAGGTACACACAACGGGTTACCATAGCTGGGGTTAGCCATATGAAATTGAAGGGGAAAACCGTATGGATGTTAAATCACAGCCATTTCCGGTTTGTTATGTTGGATTGAGTTACAGCATTTAAAGAGGCCCTGTTATGCTTTTTGGGTTTTACCTGCAGGAGTTAACCAGGACGATGAGTTTGTTCCTCAGGCTGGCGTAGCGTACAGTCAGCTGGATCTCCCCAAATGAACCCTGATGTTTGCTGATGGCCCTATATGGATAAAAAAACATATGAATATGTCCACTTTCTCTTGGGTCCACAAAGTTAAGTTCATTACGTTCAAAAAAATGTTGAAGGGGAGTGCACTGGCGTTATGAAAAAAGGAAATAGAACAAAGTTTACTCTGGATAAGATGCCCCATCTGAAAGGTCAAAACGTGACGAGGCGATGGAGTTGTCTGACAACAGGCTCTGGGAGTCATAGCGACGACGCATGTTTGGTGTGGAGGGTGGCGGCCGCAAGATTTCATCTGAGCCACTCTGGGTGTCCCAGGATGCAGTTGAGGGTGTGGAAGTGGTGTTGGGGGAAAGTGCTGCAGGGGAGGATGTAGCTACAGCGGGAGTGGATGCAGCAGCCTTACCTCCTTGGTTAGTCTGTGGTATTTGTTTTTTGTCTTGTGGAGGAGGGTTTAGAACAATCGTGGGTGGAGGCTTTTCGACAGTGAGAATCTATTGAGGGAAGAGAACATGGTTTGCTTAAGTCAGTGACACAATGTAAAAAATGATTTACCGGTACATCACTTTACTGTAATGCAGCGTTTCAAACCAGTACACGACAACACTTACGATATTGGGATATTGAAAATGTAAGTGATATCATGTCTAATATCACAATATCAATAGTATATCTTTATATTGCGCAGCCCCAGTGCTTGCTAACGTTGTGTACTCACCCTGAGAGTGGCTTTCAGCTGGATCTGGCTGTTGGCTCCGGAGCGTTCCAGCACAAAGCGCTGGTCTAAAGTCATGTCGGAGGTGTTGAGGAGGCGACTCAGGGGCAAGTTGAAAATACCGAGCTGAGTCTTCTTCTCATGCTCTTTGACCTGGACAAGGAGAAAACATATAAAACCAATAAAATACTGAATGAAAAACATTGTATTTCACTTGAGGACATATGACTGATTGATGGAGGTCTAGAATAACAACATTTACAACATTAATGATTTTGGTTTTTTGGTATCATTTGGATCAAATAACAAGAAAGTCACAGTATCTGTACATATTGACACATACAGGTTGGAGATTTCAACCTGTATGTAAAACTAAGTAACTTGTAAAACTAAGTTTGAACAAAATGTGGGGAAAATCACCACAAGTAATGTGAATTCATGTTTGTTTCTATACAATACCATTAAACGAGTTGGTTCATCAAATACAAATATTATTACCAACCTGAATCATGAGCTGCTGTGTTTTGACATTATGCACAAAGAAGGTGAAGCCCTCCTCCCACTTTGGGTCTTTAGATGCGTACGCAACCTATGAAATGAGTAGAGATTGAAGAGAAATAACTACAGGTTAACGGTTTCCTTTGCGAAAAGCTGGATATTTGCAAAATCATCAGACATCTCAATTTGCAATTACAGATATTAGGTTTTACTGTGCAAAATATATTAAAT